AGTTTTTTTTTGGTTCTTTGTATTGCTATCATTTTTGCCCTCTTGGGGGTGTAGGTGGGGTGGGCGGTTCAGGCTTGGAGATTTTCTTAGAGATTATAGACTAGTTTACAGAAACATCTGTGAAATGAAATTATTGTTGACTTCTTTTTTATTTTTTTCTTGTTTTGAATTTGCTTACTTTTAGAGAAGCTTATCAATAATGTAGATAGATTGTTCGCATCTGTATCTGATCTTAATGGGATATCTTCTTCACAACACTAAAGGGATAATCTGTTCCTAATAATTCTTCCATATCTGCTTTATTCACTATCTCAGCCTCGGTAAAGATTAAGGATACTTTTTGGGCAGGACCATATATATCTTTTTCATGACTTTGTTCCACTTTATTTTTTTGGGAATTTCCTTGGACATGCTTCAATAGGGAAATTTTGGGTGATTGTTGCTGCTACAACTCATGATTATTATGCAGCTTTCTGTTGTCTATGTCTTTATTAACATGTGAATGTAATTTATTAGGGTATTGAAATGGGGTGATGGGTACTATAATGGAGACATTAAAACAAGAAAAACGGTTCAGGCCGAAGAACTGAATTCGGATCAGCTCGGGTTGCAGAGGAGTGAGCAGCTGAGAGAACTTTACACATCCCTATCTGCAGGGGAAACCAACCCACAGGCTAAAAGGCCAACGGCTGCATTATCCCCTGAAGATCTCACTGATGCTGAGTGGTATTACTTGGTTTGTATGTCATTTGCATTCAACGTTGGCCAAGGGTAATTCTTCTTTTACCTAAGCTTTGAAGTTTATACAAATTTTTCTTCAATAGCACCTTGATGTCTTTGATTTGAGTACTTGTGATCATATTTGGCAGTGCTTAAAAGTTGCTTTTCTAGAAAAGTGAGTCTTAATTGGTAAAAAAGAGTAATTCTGAAAATCACATCTGGCAAACGATGTAACTGAAAAGTAAGTTTGACATACTATTAAGCAAAACCAAACATCTTGTATACATGGTGAAGAAAATGACAGAGCTTTGCCGTCTCTTTTTACCAAAAATGGTAGTAAAATCATTAAAGTAGTTTTTATCTTATATTATCATTAATATGTTACATCTTTGTGTCTATGCTGTTACTTTGTCATTTGTTGTTTGTTTGCGAATATGAATTTTGTTGCCTTCCTAATGGGACCATAGCTCTCCCAACTGCAGGCAGAACAACCGAATTACTTGTGTTTCTCTGAAATTGTAATGATTAGTATTGATGGAGATAAGAAATATTAATTGGCTATGATTAGCATAATTTTAATTGTGCTTCAATACAATGACTTACAGAAAACCATTGATTTTTATTTTCATGGACAATGTAAAGGTTGCCGGGAAAGACATTAGCAAAAAATCAGACTATCTGGCTATGCAATGCTCACCAAGCAGACACCAAGGTTTTCATTCGTTCTTTGCTTGCAAAGGCAAGTAGGCGACTCTTAATTTAATGTTTGTCTAGGATCATTTTCTAAAACTCTTACCTTTCTTTACTTTTCAATATCTTTGTCATATGACTGGCTGGATTTCCATTGCTTTCTGCAGAGTGCATCAATCCAGGTATGCATCTTTGTCCTTATTGCAACTCCATATATTAAATGTACAACATGTTTAGGACAACAAGATGTTAAATTAAAAAAATTCTATTTTGTAATGTACTATGTTCAAAAGTAGTACGTCACTGAAAATATTATGCCTTCTCTTTGATTTGCAGACAGTAGTGTGCTTTCCACATTTAGGGGGGGTAGTAGAGCTGGGAGCAACTGAGCTAGTAAGCCACTGTTAAATATATGCTCTAGGTGTCAAAAGTTGGTTTCAGTAACATACTCACATTGTTTGTCTTAATTTGCCACTTGTTTCATTATCGAAGGTTCTGAAGGATAAGAAACTCATTCAGAACATAAAAACTTCTTTCCTCGAGGTTCCATACCCTAATGTTTCCAAGATTCCAGACCAGATTCCCAAAAATGTGAGAAATGATAATGGCCTTGTTTATCATCGAGTCAACGTGCCAGAAACTAGTCTTAATCAGCTTGTGGAATATCCAGAAGTAAATATTTATTCTCCCAATAATGGTTCGAATGATTTTGGAGCTAAACAACCGGATGAGGAATTGAATATTGTAGAAGACATTGACGGGGAAGCTTCTCAAATGCAAAGCTGGCAATTTATGGATGATAAAATCAGCAACTGTGTCAACAATTCTGCAAATTCCAGTGACTGTATTTCTCAAACCTGTGATAATCCTGAAGATATTGTCCCAGTTTCAAACGAAAAGAAGGTAATTGATAATGGAATGCATGACACTCAAGAATCCGGTCAGCAGAAACTGAACTCTTCTGATTCCCGAGGCGATGACATTCATTATCACAGTGTTCTTTCCAATCTTTTGAAAAGTTCTCAACAGTTGATTCTTGGACCCTACTTCGGCAATAGTAACAAGGAGTCGAGCTTTATTAGTTGGAGGAAGGACAGATTATCAAGTTCACAGATTCCCCAAACTCATACTCCTCAAAGATTATTAAAAAAAGTGCTTATCGAAGTTGCCAGAATGCATGAAAATTGTCAGCTTGAATCCAGTAAAGGTGATGGCAAACGAGATGGCATTTCTAAACCAGAAATAGATGAAATTGATAGAAACCATGTCTTGTCAGAGAGAAAGCGCAGAGAAAAAATAAACGAGAGATTTTTGATTCTTGGATCCTTAGTCCCTTCCGGTGGCAAGGTAATTAAAACTGCACTTCCTTTTTATTGGCCCCCTCTTATATTAGCATGTATGGCTGGTAAGATTGGATATAATGTTTGCTAATTATATAGTCCTGTCGTGTCCAATACTGAATACCAAGCACTAATGGTATGTTTCTTAGGTGGTTAAAATTTTGTTCATAGTAATGTCTAGTATGGTCTAGTACTGTATGATGAAACATGACCCTGTAAGAAGATTCTTGGTTTTTATGATTGCAGGTTGACAAAATATCAGTGCTTGATCGCACGATTGAGCGCCTAAGGGAGCTCGAGAAAAGGATAGAAGAGCTGGAATCTAACAGTGATGTAGGCATGCTAGAGTCAAGAACAAGAATTAAACCTTGCGATGCCATTGAGAGAACTTCTGACAATTATGGCTCTAAAAAGAGCGGAAACAGCAAGAAGCCATTGACAAAAAAGAGGAAGGCTTATGATAAGGAAGAACCGAGAACTGACAATGGCTGCAGTCTGTTGAGAGATTCTTTGACTGATAATATAACTATTAATGTAGTCGACAAGGATGTGTTGATAGAGATGAAGTGCCCTTGGAGAGAGAGTGTGTTGCTTGAAGTCATGGAAGCCACAAGCAAACTACATCTGGATTCTCAATCCGTTCGATCTTCAAACACTGATGGGATACTCTCTTTGACTATAAAAGCTCAGGTTTGCTCTCATAACATCAAGAAATTTTTGAATTACTTCACTCAATGGGTCAAAGGATATAGAAACTTCCATTTTTAACATGTTTTGTTGCACTTGATCATAGTTGTGTAAACATATACAGCATTCTTTAACACTGCCTAAGAATTTTTGCAGTTCAAGGGATCGAAAACTGCATCAACAGGTTTGATTACACAAGCAATACAGAAAGTCATTCGGAGATGTTGAAGATCATCCCCAAACTGAGACCAAAATCGAGCAATGACTTTGAATGTGTATATTTGTGGAGAATTTGTGTTCTGCAACTTCTGTAGGTGTTTGTAGGGGAATTTTCTAAGTAATTCAGTCTAATAAAGGGAGTTTTCGAGTTGGAGATCTTACATGGTTTTAACCCAGATTTTTCTTGAAAATCCAACTAATTACATTCTCAAAGAAAAGGGAAAAGAAAAAAATTTACGTAGGTGAAAAATTAGCACTTTATGCCGTTTCAGACGGCCAAATTCTTGCTGAACTTTATCCATTTCATCAGACACTGTTTCATAATTTCTTCTAATTATGTAAGCAAAGGACATTGCATGAATGTGAATTAGAGGTCTCAAATGTCTTGAGCCATGGGGGAGCCCCGGCTGCCTGGAACCTTGCTAGAGGCTAAGGGCGGGCCACCTGAAAACAAGTTGTCCGGAAAATGAACACAATATGGTCATACTTGGACATGTTTCGTTCAATCTAATACATCAATCATTTTGTAAATGCACATGTAAAAAGAATCGGCAAACAATGTCAATCGTGAAACATCATCCTGTTTTTGTTGTGATAATTTAAAAAATAAAAAAATAAATAATAAAAATGGGAAAATGGGGCTGCTTCAAAAATAGAATCTTGATTAGGTGGTGTTTATGTGAAAATTTTGAAAACAACTAATGGCTAATGCCAATTAAGTGATAAGTTATTAATACTAAAAAAGCAAAGTGGGAGTCCTTTAAACAAGAAAAAGAAACCACTTTTAGTTGTCTTCAATGGATCGGACGACTGTCATTATGAATTTTTTTTTTCTTTTTTTCATTTTCTAATATTGTTTGAATAATCTGCAACAGAGATGCATGTGCATGGTCTAATTTTAATAATGTTCAATTATAATTCAAGTGGATGATGCCCTAAAATTTCTGCGACAATAAGGGGTCGTCCCCTTTTCTTTTGTTTCACTTCACGTTCTGATAAATTTATTACTTAATTTTGAAGGGAGTCATTATTTCTAAGATTACCTTAACATTCTTTTCCACTTAATCTCTAAAGAGATATAAGCATTTTTTAGTAGTGTTTATAAATAGTTTAAATTACATAAAAATATAAATGAATAGCGAATAAATGAATAATATATGTGAATCCTACAAAACATGATTAATTTACAAAATTAACCAAACATAGGAAAAAGAGATTCGTCACTCAATTTGGGATAACTAAATCCACTATGATATGGACAATATTAAAGAAAAATAAAGTTAAAATCTTATTTATTGTACTATTTAGTAGTACAATTTAATCGTATATATCAAGCATGCACTGAATAATGGGTGAACAAGCTCCACGAGGGGGTAAAAATAAACATGTATAGTGTTTAAAAGCTCCTATAGATGCTTCTTAAGTGAAGACCAAACACCCAAGAGGGTAAAAGAAAATATTTTACTGTCAAAATTTTATAAATAAGTCGAATGCACAATTTTGTGAAGAATCGCGGCCTTACGAGACTTTGATTTTCCGCGAGTTGATGTTCTTCTCAAAACCCATCAAGATCTACAGCGGAGGGCAAGTAAAAAATTTCTTGAGACAAATCCAATCTGTGTGGAGTTATTCCCATTCAATAGTTGCTGGAGGCTTTGACGTAATGTCAAGAAGAACCCGATTTACACCTTGAACTTCATTGCAAATCCTTGTTGATAGATCAGCCAAAAACTTGTAATCAAAATAGTACCTAGAAGTTTGCAATTGCAGAGAAAAAACATAAGCAAGCAAAAATTTCTTTTACAAAAGAGCAACTAGAATCAATCACAACGAAAATTTGTACCCATAGACAAAGTTACCCATGGACAAAGTTATGAAGCACACTGTAGAATAGTAAGTACAATTTGCATGAAGCAATCTAGAGCTGATAACATAAAACATAATGAAATATTTGCAAGAAGAGTAAATACCAGTCTGCAGTCATTCCATCGTGACTAGTAACGGCCCTAAGTGCGATGGCATAAGAATGTGTTCTTTGATCTCCTTGAACTCCAACAGTTAATACTGGCATGAATACAGCAAAAGCTTGCCATATTGAATCATATATCCCGGCATCTTTGATTGCCTGAATGAAGATCTCATCCGCCTGACATGTGCAACACAGTGAATGAAAAAAAATATTAAATTGCTGAATATTCTTGCACTGCTTATATTTATGAAACTCATATACCTTACGTAGAATGTCCAAGCGGTTCCCTTCAGTGACATCACCAGGCACCCGTACTGCAAGGCCAGGCCCAGGGAAGGGGTGGCGCTTTAGAAAGGAAACTGGAACCCCCATAATTCTTCCAAGTTCACGAACCTTCAACCAATTGCAAGAGGACGCCAAAACAGAAGTAAAGAAAATAATTTGGGGCAAAGAACTTGTAACATGTAAGAGTTTCCAAAACTTATAAAGAAGTTAAACCTGTACCTCGTCCTTAAATAAAAGTTTAAGCGGCTCAATGAGTTTCAGTTTCATGTCCTTGGGAAGCCCTCCAACATTATGATGACTCTTGATGGTGTGGGAGTGAGTCCTCCCACTTCCAGGTGGTGGGCAAGATTCAATAACATCAGGATACAAGGTTCCTTGGACCAAATATGCAGGTTTCTTTCCTAACTTTTTCTCCAAATCTCGAGCAAAAGCATCAAAGATGCATATAAATTCATTTCCGATTACTTTCCTTTTCTTCTCAGGTTCTGTTACACCTTTCAGCTTGCTTAGAAATTGATCCGTGGCATCAATACATGTAACAGGTAAATGAAGGTCTCTATCAAAAGTTTCCATCACTCGTTCTCTCTCCTTATACCTACCAAAACAAAGACAAATTTCAATGATTAGAACGCTATAGTAAATTAAGAAGGTAAATTCATCAATATTTGAAATAATAAAGAAACAATTTATGAAGGTTCATTTTACTATGATAAGAGTGGATGTTGTCTAACCTTAATAAACCATTGTCAACGAAAGCACAGTGAAGCCTATCTCCAATAGCCTTGTATACAAGAGTAGCTGCCACTGTGGAATCGACACCCCCAGATAATGCACAGATGACATGATTGTCAGGTCCAACTGTCTCTTTAATAACTTTCAGTTCTTTCTCAAGAATATCTTCCATCTTCCAGCCAGCAGTTACACCACAAATATCAAAGAGGAAGTATCTCAATGTTTCCATTCCTTCAGGGGAATGTGTTACCTGCAAAAGATCCATAAGATCATCAACAAGAATCAAACAGATGACACCCTGCAGAGATCATAGATAAGTAATGTTTTAGACTGTTAGTATACTGAATTTAGTTACAAGCATTGACTATAAATTAATGTTACTTTGCACTTGTCAGTTGTTAGAAAAACAGTCAAATGCACAAATCAATTCTGTTGTGTTATATAATTCCAATGAAACTGAGCATAATTTGTATAAATTTCTATTAAAATGGAGTAAGTTGTATAGGCTGAAACAAACAAAGCTTTAGTTGGCTTAAATTTGCAGATAGAACAGTCATATCAAAACATGATATTTGGAACAATTTCAAGTAAGATTGTACTAAAATTTCAACACTTAATACAAGATACATTAGTACTTGATTGAAATGTGAGATATGGTAATATATACTGTCAAAATGAAATCTAACATTGATGCAGAGGTCAATCCAAGCACCGTACTGTGAAGACTAATAGACACAATAACATCAATTTTTCCATATATATCCACTAGTGAAAATCAATTCTTCTATTTGATGCAGATTAACCAACAAACTAGCAACTATGAGAATTAGAGAGAAAAGAGAACATAAATACCCTCTGAAATAATAATTGCCTCGACTTAAAGAATGTTACTGCAAAATTATAAAAATTTTAACGAGACTGAGGGAAAACTACGACTGCCCCAGCCAAAAATAAAAAAATAAATTTTTTCCTCATTTTCTTCGTGAACCATTCACCACCATGCTTCTGATAATTACTGATATTTAATTTCTCAAGCACCAATCAAAGTTCTATATTTCAAATCAATACTCCAGGATATTACTTCAATCCACAAACTAATACCACAAAAATTAAAGTCACAAGATTAAAACTCACATCATTCTATGCATCATTAGAAAAAGAATCAATTTTGATAAATACCCAGAAAAAGAACCAATGATGAGCGAAATTATACCTCGGGATGGTACTGCAAACCATATAACCTCTTTTCACGATTCTCCACTGCAGCCACGGACCCTTGGTTACTCCTTGCCACGACCTCGAACCCCTCCGGCAACTTCACGGCCTCATCACCGTGACTCATCCACACACTCTGCCTATCCCCAACCTTCCTATTTCCAAACAACCCACAAGCCTTCTCTACCTCAATTTCCATCCTCCCATACTCTTGCTTCTCCCCAACCCTAACCTCACCGCCCGTTTTCTGCACAATCAACTGCAGACCATAGCATATCCCCAAAACATGAACATTATTCGACTCGATATACTCCATGAACCCAGTTGGAAAACAAGGCGCGTCCAACGAGTGCACGCTGTGTGGCCCACCGGAGAGAATAATTACACACGGGTCCAGGTCGGCTATGGATTTGAGGGAGGATGTGCCGTTGATGCAGAGCGAGAAGACATTGAGGGCCCGAATTCTTCGTGTTATGAGATGGGTGTACTGGGACCCGAAATCTAGGATCAATACTAGGTTTGATTTCACGTCTTGACGGTCCATTTCGGAGTTTTCGGGTTCGATTCCTGCAGAGAGAAGATGGAGGATGATTACAGAGAGGAAGGGGTAGCTTTATGTATCAAGAAGAAAAAGTGGCTAGGGTTTTAGCGAAGGCGGGAAGTAGAGCCAAAATATCCAACTTATATCTTAGAAAAATAAAAGACAAATAATAAGTGAATGAATAGGGGATTTTATTATAAATGATAAATCGATATTTATAGAGTTTCCCATTTGGTAGGCGGTAGGCTCCATTTTTGTGGAGAATTCCATTTAATCACCAAACGTCTTGGTTGACTGGTAAAATTTTTCATGAAATTGGTTTCTATCTTAGTCCCCAAGCGATCATTTTTCTTGGTTTTTAAGGAATTTGTTTTCTTTTGGTTTGGTGGAACAGTGTTTTTCAATTTTTTTTTAGACAATGAAAACAAATTCTATTCACAATTGTAACAAATTCTATCGTTTTAGTTGACAATTTTCATGAAAAATAAAATCAAATGAACGCCAAAAAATTCAAAATTTCAACATTTTTAGATAAAAAATTATACTATCAAATACATTTAATTGACAATTTTCAATAAAACAAGTTCTAGACAATTCAATTTCCTAAAATTCGTTTTCTTTCCACCCAAATTTCATTCTTGTAATCAAACGGACCCAATGTTCTAATTTGAAAAGAATACATTTTGAATAAAAGACATAGGTTACTCATCTAACTCTTATTTGTTTACAATATGATTATATTTATTTCAACATTAAACAAAACTTTAATTTTCTTAACATTTTTTTTCTATTTTCCAAAATAATAATAATAATACTAATAGAAGTTCAATTTCACGCCCTTTTAAGCTTTTATGTGTAATATTAATAGGGTATGCTGCATTCTAAATTTCGAATACACTTTGAAACTTATGATTTTTTTATTTTATAACTTGTATACTACACATTTATTTAACTAAATTTTAATTATTTGTTACATACATATCATTTTTATCATGAGTAATGTTTGTTTATACTTTAATGGTACGTCCAGCGAGTCCATGCTGTGTTGCCCATCGGAGAGAATAATTACACACGAGTTCGGGTTGGATGTTGATTTGAGAGAGGATGTGTTGTTGATGCAAAGCAAGAAGACATTGAGAGCCCGAATTCTTTGTGTTATGAGATGGGTGCACTTGGACCCGAAATCTAGGATCAATACTAGATTTGATTTCACAGCTTGAGTGTCCATTCGGGCTCGATTCTTGCAAAGAGAAGATGGAGAATGATTAAGGGAAGAAGGGGTAGGTTTAATGTATCAAGAAGAAAAGTGGCTAGGGTTTTAGCGAGGCGGGAAGTAGAGATAAAAAAATCCAATTTTATCTTATCTAAAAAATTGGAATTGTGTGATTTTATTTCAATGTACTCACATTATATTTATATAAGGTTTAAACGAGAATTATAATTCAAGAAAATATGCTTTTTATAATAAAATAAAATTATTTTAAGATTTATTTAATTTGGCATTAAAAGAAAATTTAATTTTTTAAAATGTTTTCTCTATTTTTTTCATATAAAAATTATAAATTATAAGTTCAATTTGAGGTTTTTTCCCTTCTTACACCTTTTGTGTAATACTAATAGGATGTATATACAGAAATGATTTCCTAAACATCGATATTTACATTAAATTGATGGAATCTTTTATTTATATAGTCACCAATTAATGATGTGTCATGTTATTGGTGCTCAGCATAATCTAAGCATTAATACTTATGAGATTATTTCTGTATACTCTTGCTGAAGTCTTGAATCTTGATCTCTATTCATATTTGAACTTGCTTTCCGAACTTGAAATCTTCTAAATTGTATTTAAGAATCTTGAACGGTGTTGATAATAATCTTGTCGGTCATACGTCACTTGTCAGCATTTTCTTTTGAAATGATATTTTACTTTTATAAAGTCTCTTTAATAAATTTGATTATAATGAAATCTCCATCATTAAATTATCTTTATTAAAGTTTTATCCATTATTGTTTGATTGACGGTAGTGCTGGCAGGAACAACTTTAGTGGTGACATACATAATTGAAAGAGAGCATATTTTGATTTGCGAACTCGGTATTTTTTGTATTCATCTAAGTAGCCGGGTTCATATAGTCATTTTGAATTTTCTAAATCTCTTATTGAGCAATAAGTTCATCCATATCTATATCATATTAGTCGTCTTTATTGCTTTGAGTATAGTATGTTTCATAACCCATTTGAGCAGAAGAGTTGCCTTGAATTGATTTTGTTTTCTTTGAAGTAGATTCTGCCAAAGAAGCAATTTTCTATAAAATAATTGCCAATTCCTCTGATGTTTTGCATCGATTGAACATAGCTAGTAATTTTGATTTTTTTCATTCAGGAAATCGGCTTGTTTACTTTGTCCCTTTTTTGAGAATTTTGGAATGCCAATATTTCTTTGTTTTTGGATCCATGAATTTACTGCCTTTGGACAACAGTTTATTTCACGAAATTTTGACCATCATTTTATTTCAAATCTCCAAATTATTCTTTTAACATTGAATTCTGAGCTTTGATCTTGGATAATATTGAAATCCTAGTAGATTATCCATGAGACGTTCATATTGAATGCAAATTAATATTTGTTCTTGTGGGTTCGATGACTCTTTGGCAACCTGTTAAATATGAAAAAGTTGGATTTTATTGAAAAAAAGTGTAGAAGATAGGGACACACAGAGGTTGTTTGTAAAGTGGGTCAGCAAATTCAAGAGAATTGAAAAATGAAGAAAGTTGAGAATATTGGTCTTGAAAAAATGAGTGAAGAGGAAAAAATGGCGATGAGTCTTGTGGTGTGGGGATAGAAAAAAGATACGTGCAGGAGGGTGGAAATACAAGTATCTTGGATGCTGGTGGTATTTTAATTGGCACAACTTACGAGGAAGTGATAATATTAAAAAGATAGGTAAAAGTAGTAGAGGAAAAAATCTAGTTGTGGATAAGGATAAATATATATGTACAAACTTTGGCGTACAAAATCTTTCACTCACTCTCACATATGTGCGGGTCCCAAGTGCATTTTAAAAATGACGGCTTGTGGTTCCTACCCTTTATTGTGAGTAGTGAGTAAACCATTTTGTAAAAAGTGTGAGTGCATATAGACTTGTTCTATGGATAATGGTAAGGAGAAAATGGATGTAGTAGATATTGAATTGGGGGGAGATAAAAGTATGGACGAGGATGGAACTGTAGCCTTGAAGACTAGAGGGATCTAAATTGCTGATCTTGGAGGAGCCATCGAGTTGAAACCTATAAATGGAGCTTATTTGGTTGATGGGGAGCCAGTAATGGAAGAATGAGAAATAGAAGAAAGAGGGATGAATTTAAATGAAAATATGATGGTCACGATCAAAGATAAGGAGCAAAAAAATGTAATGGCCATGCAAATAATGGTAACGACGAAGAATGATCAGGGTGCCCAAGAAAATGCTAAGGAATTACAAGAGGACTTTAGTGATCATGGTATTACAGATAGGGTTGTCAATGCTCGGCTCGGCCCATGAAAGCACCAGCTCAGCTCGGGCTCGCCACGAGCCAAGCCCGGCTCTCGAGCAGACGTCGTTTTTCCATTTTTTTTTTTGGAAACAAATAGAAAAATTGAAAAATAAAAAAGTAATTTTAATTTTTAAATTGTGAATTATATATAAAAAAAACTAGGTAAAAAATTTAAACCCTCCTCCTTTATCCACGCTTGGGACCGGCTACTTAAATTTAGAGTAAGCGGAGTTAAAAATTGTGTTATTTGTTTGTTTGTTCGTGTACAATTTTTTAAAGAAAATTTAAAACAGTATTAAAAATTATTTTTTCAAACAACGCTGCGCGTCCCCTTGCATGTAATTTTCAAAGAAAATCCCTTCTAAAAATTGAAAGGGTAATCAAGTGCCCTTTCAATTGTCAGAAGTCTTCATTTCGAAGATTATACAGAAGTCTTTCACTTCGAAGATTATATATAATCTTGAAGTGAAAGACTTCTGACAATTGAAAGGGCAATCATTCGATTACCCTTTCAATTTTCAGAATGAATTTACTTCAAAAATTATATGTAAAGGTATGCACAGCGTTGTTCGAGAAAAGAAATTAAAATGCAGACATATAGTAGTAATAGTACTAAGTACTAACAAAAATTTAACTAAATTGATGGAAATAAAATTTTTTTATTTTAACTAAAAGAGATAGAAAAAAATAATTTGTTTTATTTTTCTTTTTAAAATAGATAAAATATAAACCCTCCTCCTTTATCCGGGCTTGGGACCGGCTACTTAAATTTTCAATAGACGGAGTTAAAATTGTACACGAACAATTTTTTGTAGCGTGTACAATTTTTTTAAAGAAAATTAAAAGTAACGATAAAAAAAGAAAAGTTTCATCAATATAATTAAATCAAATATCACTTACTTGACGACATGCAATTTCGGCATATTTATCTTGTAGTCGAAAATGAGCGTCTTGTCAATCCTTAACGCACATTAACGCTTCTAAAATATCTTCTTTCAGTCGGCTCCTGACCTCGCTCAAAACTCTTTTACCTGCACTAAAAGCAAACTCCGAATCAGTGCTAACCGGATGTGTCAACAGATCTTTTGCAATCGCAGATATAACTGGGCAACATTATTCATACCTTTGCTAGAATTCAATTACTTCGTCTGAAAATTTTTTTATTTGTTTTATCTGTTGGCATATTTTGGTTGAAATAATCAATTAATTCAGCAGGCAATGCATTATAGCTTGAGCCCGTAGATTTTTGATGAGAATGAGATACAGATGGTGACGACATGGCAGTGGCAATGGTAGTAGATGAACACATTACAGATGAATCAAATCTATACGAATTAATGCCTTGAAATAAATTAAATATTTTCGCATCTTCTTCTTCAATTTCAACGGAAGGAGTAGGTGCAGATGGTACCAACTAATATTGGTACTAATTCGATTTGCATATAATTCATACATTTCACATAATGTTTGCTCTAAATTTCTATATGTGATAGGTGTATCAAATGTTAAGGTGTTTGAAATTTGGTTAATTATATATTTAGTTCCCAATAAATTATATCGGGGGTCCATCACGCATGCTAAAGAAAATAACATAGGCAAATCTTCCCAATATTTTCTAAATT